CCATGGAAACGGGGCGTCAACTCAGCTGACAAGTAGCAAACTCCGTCTCTCACCCTGCGTTCCATTCGGAAGGGCTCATCCCTATGCCCTAATCCCTTCAAAGGGTTTACCCTCCGGAGTGAGAGCTTCGAAGGGTTGAAGGGTGTAGGGGACCAAACAACTGTTTCTTGAAGTGCCCTTCTGCGTCATCATCACGTTCCCACACTGAGGCGCCGTCATCATGCAAAGAATCTGCGCAAAGGATCTGTCATGAGTCTGGGCCCTGCGTTTCTCCCTCCCTCCTCCAGAGAGCGCCATCTCCCGGACTCCATTCCCCAAACCCCATACACCTGTTCACTCATTACACTAATTCCCCAAACTCCATACACCTGTTCAGTCATTCACTCGTTACACTCACCCTCGGCTGTTCCCCATTGTCACAGACTATATCTTCTCCTAACGTCTGGAAGCCGTTCCTTAGGGGAGGGGCTCCTGTCAGGGTCTGGCGTCTGGTGTTCTCCCTCTCACCACCAGAGGTCGCCATTTCCCATCCTCCCGGACTCCTTTACCTTAACTCCACACACCTGTTCACCTACTCACACACACACAGCTGTTGCCCATCCTGATGGCTATTTATACTCCTTCCCCACGCCTCTCTGGGCTGATTATTAGTTGTTGATATGTGGACTGATGCAAGCACTAAGTGGCCGTAGTGGTGTCATATTCCTGTTTCTGTTCTGAGCCTGTTGTCAGATTCTGATATCTGTTTGTGTTTCCGTTTTGGTTTTTACTTTGTTTTCCCTTAAGTTAATAAAGACCTGCATTTGGACCCAGACCCTTGTTTACACGGTGTGTTCCCTTACCACGCCGTGACAGAATAATCAGCCAAACATGGGTCCAGCAGGAAAGTTCCTCAACGTCCTGCAGGGAGACCGGTGCATTGAGGATTACGCCAGGGACTTCGTGGGAGTGGCTCGCCAGTCGGCTACGGAGAGGACCTGCATAATGGTCTTTTTCTGGGGTGGCCTAACCGAGCCCTTCAAATCCCTTATGCCATTCTGGCACCCCGAGGAGGCGCCGGAGGACTACATCAACCTGGCTCTGCAGTTGAGCGGCTCCGCCTTCAGGGTGGAGTTGGCTGCGGAGCCCGCTCACAGTCCTCCCGAAGCGGCAATTCACGGGGCGTCAGAGGCCTCGTCTGCGACACCCAGTATCTCACGCCCGTTCCCGGAGCGTCCCGGACTGATACGCAGCGTGCAGGAATCCCCGCTGATGTCGGTGCGAGCGGCGTGGTCAGCTCGCAAGGCTCCCGAGGCGTCGGGGCCCGCTGAGGTTCCCTCCGAGGCGGCGGGGCTCGCTTCTGGCCTTTCCGAAGCGGCGGAGCCCGCTGATGATCCCTCCGAGGCGGCGTGGCTCGCTTCAGGCCTTCACGAAGCAGCGGAGCCCGCTGATGATCCCTCCGAGGCGGCGGGACTCGCTTCCGGGCCTTCCCGAAGCGGCGTCGTCCGCTCACAGTTCCCCCGAGGCGGCGGCGTCCGCTCACAGTTCCCCCAAGGTGCCGGCGTTCGCTCAGAAAGCTCCGGAAGCGGCGGTGTCCGTTCACGGTTCCCCCGAGGCACCGGTGTCCGCTCACGGTGGAAGCCGTTCCTTGGAGAGGGGGTCCTGTCATGAGTCTGGGCCCTACGTTTCTCCCTCTCTCCTCCAGAGGGCGCCATCTCCCGGACTCCATTCCCCAAACCTCAGAAAGCTCCGGAAGCGGCGGTGTCCGTTCATGGTTCCCCCGAGGCACCGGTGTCCGCTCACGGTTCCCCCCACTCAGAACGCTGCAGAAGCGGCGGTGCCCGCTCACGTTTCCCCCGAGGCGGCGGTGTCCGCTCACGGTTCCCCCGAGGCGGCGGTGTCTGCTCACGGTTCCCACGAGGCGGCGGTGTCCGCTCACGGTTTCCCAGAGGCGGCGGTGTCCGCTCACAGTTGCCCCGCCAATGCCCGTTCCAAAGCGGCAGCTCCACACACACCGCTAGCGGCGGTGTCCGTTCATGGTTCCCCCGAGGCACCGGTGTCCGCTCACGGTTCCCCCGAGGCGGCGGTGTCTGCTCACGGTTCCCACGAGGCGGCGGTGTCCGCTCACGGTTTCCCCGAGGCGGCGTCATCCGCTCACAGTTCCCCCGAAGCGGCGTCGTCCACTCACAGTTCCCCCGAGGCGACGGCGTCCGCTCACAGTTCCCCCGAGGCGGCAGCGTTCGCTCACGGTTCCCCCGAGGCGGCGGTGTCCGCTCACGGTTCCCCCGAGGCGGGGGTGTCCACTCACGGTTCCCACGAGGCGGCGGTGTCCGCTCACGGTTTCCCAGAGGCGGCGGTGTCCGCTCACGGTTTTCCAGAGGCGGCGGTGTCCGCTCACAGTTGCCCCGCCAATGCCCGTTCCAGAGTCTGTCGGTGACGTCCCTTACATGCAGGCTAAAATGGGCTGAAACTATTTCAAACCACTGTGTTTCAAACACGTTTTGATTTTACATTGTAAATAAATATTGATAAAAATTGTACTGTGATTTCAGGAGCATCAGAAAAAACCCTCTAAAACAGAGGGGAAGTTGCAAGAAAATTTCTAATGGGAGCTGCTGACAGAGATATAGGAAACACAGGTAATCTGAGAAAGCTTATTAAATAACTTCATATACATTTTTGACAATATATCATCATGCATCTTTAAAATCTAAAAATGTGAATTCTAGTATCTTAAGATTTTTTATGTTTTCCATATTACTATTTATCTTTTCTGCATTTCACCTATGCTCTAGTTTGTTTATTTCTAATAAACCTGACATTTTATACTATATATTGTTGGCTCCGTGACAAATTGTTCCTATATTTTTCCATGCTGATGGCCGTGCTGCAGAGCTGGAGCGGATCTCCTGTTGAAGAACATCTCCAAGGTGCTATGAACCATCTGACTAGTAAATAGTAACATTCAAAAGTTTATCTAATATTAAAAAAATAAATCAAATAAATATAAAATATTTCCTGTAAGTCCTACAAGGTCATCTTGTTTAACTCTGCACTGAGGACACTTTATACACAACAACCTACAGAGGGGTCCAACATTATTCAAAATGAGACACAGATGATAATAAAAAAATGAAAGAAATTAAAATTAATAACAGTAAGACAGAACCAGAGTATTGTGAACTTGCCTCACTTCAAACTGTCACGGTCTGTAAAGGTTATCATCTGCCAAGCTGGATGGACGTTGAAGGTGAATTTTTTTTATTCGTCAATTTGCCGATCTGGGGAGTTGGAAAATTAGCCTATTTTCAAAAATAGTAGAGTGTTCCTTTAAATGTAACTACAGACTTATAATGTTTTGTATTGTAAAGTTATTAAGTTCTCAATGTTTAATTTGATAATTTCCTGTTAGTTAATTAGCACATGAAGCGGTCTGGGTTACAGTCTGAGGTTATTTAAATATTATTTTCTAAACTTTAAACGCAGTGAAGTGTTTGTTCAAGTAGACTTTTTTGCTTGTGGAAACCTCACGTGAGTCTGAAAGGTACTTAAAACTTAAAAATGTATTTGCACTCTTGAAGACTGTTCACCAAAGACTAAATTTCAGTCTGGCAGAATTTCCTGCACACTTCACCACCAAAATTAGCTGTAGAGGCCAAAATGAGCATTGTGAATGTAAGAGCCTCACGTTAAATTTATAACAATCATTGTTAATGTTTGAATTGTATTTCAGGGCAGTTCGTGAAGACAGATAATCAAGAGATGTGACAAACTGTACAGAAGTCAGTTCCAGATCCACCCTCCACACCAGACCTCTCTCTCATATGTATTGCTGTCTACTAGCATATTATGTGTTCTCTTCAGACTTAGGTGCATGCAGATATTACTCAGGGACATGAACACTTGAATATTATAAGAATAGGGAAAGTACGAATGAATTAAGAT